TGGATGAGGGAAAGGCTGTGGATGTGGTCTATCTGGACTTCAGCAAAGCCTTTGACACTGTCTCCCATAATATACTCCTGGAAAAGCTGGCAGCCCATGGCTTGGACAGGGGCACTCTGTGCTGGGTCAGGAACTGGCTGGAGGGCCGGGCCCAGAGAGTGCTGGTGAACGGGGCTGCATCCAGCTGGTAGCCGGTCACCAGTGGTGTTCCCCAGGGGTCAGTGCTGGGCCCAGTCCTTCTTAACATCTTTATCGATGATTTAGATGAGGGGATTGAGTCCATCATCAGCAAATTTGCAGACGACACCAAGTTGGGAAGGAGTGTCGACCTGCCGGAAGGCAGGAGGGCTCTGCAGAGGGATCTGGATAGACTGGAGAGATGGGCTGACTCCAATGGGATGAAGTTCAACAAGGCCAAGTGTCGGGTCCTGCACTTTGGCCACAACAACCCCCTGCAGCGCTACAGGCTGGGCACAGAGTGGCTGGAGAGCAGCCAGGCAGAAAGGGACCTGGGAGTGCTGATCGACAGGAGGCTGAACATGAGCCAGCAGTGTGCCCAGGTGGCCAAGAAGGCCAATGGCATCCTGGCCTGGATCAGGAACAGTGTGGCCAGCAGGAGCAGGGAAGTGATCCTTCCCCTGTACTCAGCATTGGTGAGGCCATACCTTGAGTATTGTGTTCAGCTCTGGGCCCCTCAGTTCAGGAAGGATATTGAGGTGCTGGAGCGGGTCCAGAGAAGAGCAACGAGGCTGGTGAAGGGACTTGAGCACAAGTCCTATGAGGAGAGGCTGAGAGAGCTGGGGTTGTTTAGTCTGGAGAAGAGAAGGCTTAGAGGTGACCTCATCACTCTCTTCAACTACCTGAAGGGAGGATATAGCCAGGGGGGGGTTGGTCTCTTCTCCCAGGCAACCAACAATAGGACAAGGGGACATGGGCTCAAGCTCTGCCAGGGGAGGTTTAGGTTAGATGTTAGGAAGAAATTCTTTACAGAGAGGGTAATCAGGCATTGGAACGGCCTACCCAGAGAAGTGGTGGATTCACCATCCCTGGAGGTTTTTAAGCAGAGATTGGATGTGACCCTTAGTGCCATGCTATAGTAATTGGAGTTGGATCAGGGGTTGGACTTGATGATCTTGGAGGTCTTTTCCAACCCAATCTATTCTATGATTCTCTGATTCTAAACCAGATCAGACATAACCACTGTTACGCAAAGATAGTTTGATAAAAAATGCCTGCATTTATTGTTAGTTTAACAATTGAGCATTTGCTTAAAGCTTGATGTCTTGTAGTGTTCATCAGTGAATATAGTTACACTGAAATGACATGCCTCCTTTGGCGCTTATTCATGGAGTCATAGAATAACCTAAATGGTAAGGAACCTACAGAGGTCATCTGGTCTGACCTGCTGCCCAAAGCAGATCCAGTTAGACGAAGTTACCCATGGCTTGGGCTGTCCAGGTGAATTTCAGACTCTTCCAAGGATGAAGACTTCACAAGCTCTCTAGACAGCCTCTTCCAGTGCTTGACCAACCTTATGCCAAAAATATTTTCCTTAACAGTTAATCAAAAATTCCATGTTTCTTTGAATGCTAATGAATGAGTTATCCTTTCCAGTAAACTATTTGACTTACTCTTTGGATTATGGATTTTAGGGAAAATATTGGTGAAATGTTGTAATTTTGCCAAGAACATGTTGATCCATGGACTTCCAAAGACCGTGGCAATTGAAGTAAATAAGGCACTGTTTAGAACCCTATTAGCATTTATTAAAGATATTTGTATTTGAACCATCTTTATATAAGAAAATTTGTTTATGAAATGTAGTCCTAATTTAAGTGCATTCAAGATTTTTAGTGAG